CTAATTTAATTGCTGCCACCCCCCCCCCACCACCACATGCACACTTTGGTGTAGTCCTGCTTTCCTTTCATTGGAGCTCCTTAGACTCAGCATTTCAATTTTAGAGGCTGTTGACTGCTCCTCTGGTGGAAGCAATAGCCAAACCCAGTTTATGGGAGGGTAGCACAGGGCAGACCTGTTGGCACAACCTTCATTGGCCCTCAGACCCTCACTGCTGCAAAAATCCCTGAACCCTTGCTCTAGGTCAGACCTTGCTTGGTAGAGGCTACAGCAAACACAAGATGACTCAGACTTGGGTCCTGGACGTCTTCAGTTCCAAGTGCAGTGCTGGGCATGGCAGCCCCTGGGCTTGTTGCTTCTACCCATGGAGAAGTTGAAAGGCCAGTCATCTCTATTCCATTCCAGACTGGAGTGGGGCCTGACTGGGTTTCCAGCTCCAGGAATCTAAGTGATTAGCTTTAGCTGGCCTACCCACAAGAGGGTGCTTGAGAGCTAGCAGCCCAGCACAGGGCCATCCTTCCCAGCTTGCTGACCTAGTATCAAGGCTGGACGGGGGGTTGCAGGCAGGAAGAAATGTCCTTTTGTCTGTGCCATCCCATCCCACCGCAGCCTAGGAACCTTCATACTTGCCCCATCCTTGGAGTCTCAAGGGCCAAAGGCCTGAGTTCCCATCCTACCTTAACATCAAACTGGCTAGAAGGGGGTTCAGAGCCTGACTCCCCTAAGCAGGGTACTTAATCTTTCTGGGGTTCAGTTTCTTAATATGTAAAATGGGTGTATCTTCCTAATACCATAATATTCAAGTGTCCCCAAGGACAGCGCTGGCTTGTATAAATAAACCCTCACTCCTGGAGATTCCAGGCCACTCTCAAGTTTACAGCCTGAGTAAGGAAAAGGAGCCCGGCACACTGATTCTACCACACCAGTTTCACCAGTCATTAATGCAAGTTTTTATTTGGCTGTATATACAATTTAAGCTATTAAAATTTGTACAATATTTACAAATTAAATAATCATCTCAAAACTGTCTCCAGCAACTCCTGTAACACAAAACCAAGGGAGAAAAGATGGGCAGGCAAGGCCTCAGCTCCTGTGGTCCCTACCTGGCCCAGAGCCTTTTCTAAACTGGAAAGGCCAGGAGTTCGGCACTGCTGCTCCCTGTTTCTGGGGTCAAGCATTCAAATTCAAAATTTAAGCCAAAAGACAATAGGAAGGAATTCTTCTAAACTCAAGAAAAGTTCTGTAAGTTAAGAAGTGGCCTTCTGTAGGTGCCAGGGCTTGCAGTGTTCAGCAGCAGACACACGAGCCCTCAGCCTGGAGTGTGGCTGCACAGTGGCTGCTGGGCAAGACCAGGGACAATCTCACCTCCGACAAACTGCAGGGAGAGAAGGGCCTGGGGGGGAGGGGCAGAGCAGGGCCCCTTGGTGCTGCCCACCTGCTCCTCCGCCCCCGGGCACTCCTTTCCCTGAGTTGTGTGGTTACCAGTAAGACATGGAAATGCCACAGGGCACAAGGGGCACAGCCACCACCACAAAGGGCAACTGGGGACTATAAGGTAAGAGAAAGACATTGGTTTTGGTGGGTAGGCCAGAAAGCAAATTCCTAGCCTACCTCCAGCCCCTTGAGTCCACAGCTGGGAACAGGAGCTAATACTGTTCGGCACTGCAGCGTGATTCCACACACAAGCGGGGCTCAGAGGGGCTCCCCCTTCTCCCAGAAAGTAGTAGGGGGTCAGAAAGCTCAGAGGCTGCCCCTTTCTGCCTTCATGGCCCCAGCAGAACATAGGGCTGAAGGGTTGGAGAAGGCAGCTGGAACTGACCCAAGATCCCCATGGCTGCCCAGGACTGTAAGGGCTGGAGTCAGCTGGGGCCTCAGGCCTCTTTCCACTTGGTCTAGGGGGTGCCACCTCCTCTGTCTCAGAGCTGGGGGTTACTACTCCCTGGTGCAGACTTAGGGAGCTGGCACTTGGTGGCAGGACGTGTTCCAGCAAGGGCTGCTCAAGAGAGTGAGGGCAGGAGCCAGGACTGGGGCAGTGTCAGTGGGCAACAGGGGACTCCAGCTTTTGTAGGCGACGGCGACGGAGCTCTGCTGCATCAGGCTCCCCGTCCTCAGGCAGCTCCTCAGTGCCCACTGACTCAGGAGCTGAGAACAGAAAGGTCCAGAAGTGGAACCTGGAAAAGTCCCCTGCCATACCCCCCTGCAGGGTGACCGCAACTACCTGGAGGCTTTTCAGGTTCAGGGGCTGGTGGGGAGGCTCCTGGGGACGGGGTGGTGGCCTCAGAGCTGGGGATGCTGGTGGACGAGGCAGCAGTGGCAGCTGTAGGGGCAGTCTCCTCAGTGGGGTTGGCTGAGGTGGCAGGCCTGGGGGGCCTAGGAAGAGAATGGACAAGAGGAGGGCCTTGGCATCCTGGCATGACTGGACAGACTCTGCCCTTGGTGAGCCTTGCAGGATGGAGTACAGCACTATTGTGCCTCTGCAGCCCCAGTGACCAGCAGACAAAGAAACACGTGTATGAATTCTTGTTATTCTATAGACGGATTGTAACCCACTTAGGCAGGGCCTGTTGGCCTTGTTCACCATTACACTGTAGAGTCTCCACTATGAGATGCCAGGCACCTTACAGGGTATCAACTCAAGTAAGACAGTCCACTGAATAAAACACAAAGCACACAAGTCTCAGGCTCAAGCTCCCCTCCAAGCCTGAGCTGTGACTGCTGGGTGCCAGGCACTTTGCACACATCACCTATGAACAGGAATTAGAACTCTATTCGAATAAGGTAGTGAAGGTCACAAAGCAAGTGAGTGATGGGGCCAGGACTTGAACTCGGATCAGGCTGGCTCTAAGTGACTTGACTTGCTATCTTACTAGATCAGGGCAGTGATTCCCAAAGTGTTATCCTGTGTCAGAGGGTGCATGAGATAACAGTACTGAGAATTATAAGTCATTTGACTTTAGAAGAACATAAAGGAAAAAGATTCAAAGTCAGCTCTCTAATAAACACCACTCCTCCTTAGGTGCAGATTGCCCTTCTGCAGTGGGAGAATAAAAAAGCACAGGAACACTGACACCTTGGCTGTACCTACAGATAGGATGCCTGGATCAACAGATGTCATAGGGTGGCAGAAGAGAAAAAGGCCAAGAACCACTGCCAGGGGCCTTCTCTTGGCAGCTCCACACCCCCGTTGCCCACCCTAGGCCCCTGTGCAGACGTACCCCAGGGAGGCAAGCACGGTGAGGTACTGGTTGATCTGCAGCATAGCGGCATCCAGCAGCGTGTGGATGTTGCGCAGGCTCTGTAGGCGAGCCTCCAGGTGTTGCCGCTCATGGCCTTCCAGAGCCCGCAGCTCGTCCGGGGTCAGCCCAGCAAAGCCGGCAGGAGGCACAGGCATTGGGGGGAAGGCTGGAGAGAGGGAGCAGCTCAGCCTGGGTTGCCTGGGCCCGACATCCCCCCACCTCCCAAAAGAACCTCGAGAGTGGCCCAGCTTACCAAAGGGTGGAGGCAGAGGCATGCCCATCCAGGGAGGAGGGAAGGGGAAGCCTGGGGCGGGGCTGGCTTCAGGGGTGGAGGCAGAGCCAGGTGCCGGGGCAGAGGCAGCAGAAGCAGCTGTGGTTGTGGCTGCTCCACTGGGCCGAGAAAGGGCTGCTGAAGAGCAAGAACAGGAAGTCAGTAAGCGTTGAGGGGCCTCTGCTTCCATCCCTCCCACCCCCTGGGGCCGGCACAATACCCAAAAGGCTCACCTGTGCTGGTGGACGGAGGGGCCCCTGCCTCTCCTGAGCTCGGGGGAGGTGGGACAGGAGGAAAGGGGCCCATGGGGGGCCACAGCGGGAACATGCCTGGAGGAAAGGGAGGCAGGAGGCCCTGGGGGACTGCAGAGAGAGGACGGGGTGGTAAGAAAAGGTCCAGACTGAGTTAGATCCAAATCATAGGAAGGGACTAGTTGATGGGGCTCGGGCCTCTCCTCCTGCAGGCCCTCTTTGAGCTCAGCACTCACCACACATGACTGCAATCATCTGTCTCTTCCTGTGACATCCCCCACCCACCCCCGGCAGACTGAGCTTCTAGAAGGCAGGGACTCTGATTCACCTTAGTATTTCCCATACCCAGCCCAGGGCAAGTACTCAACAGTGTTGTGCTGGATGGCCAAATGAGGGGGCCACTCACAGTTGGGGGGCTGGGGCAGGAGTGGTGGGGGCTGGGGAGCCTGTGGTGGCCCCTGATCTGCAGGTTCAGGGGGCGGTGGTGACTGGGTCGGCAGCGATGCCCGGAGGACGTCCATACGGCAGGTGGGGCAGGTCTGCTGCCGCTGGAACCAGGAGCGCAGGCAGCTGGGGGCCAAGACCAGGCAAAGCTTAGCAGGTCTGCCTTCCAGAGCCTCTCCTCTGACATGCAGGCTCCTCAGGGCATCTCCCACCTGGTATGGAAAATGTGGTTGCAGGGCAGTCTCTTGGCACCAGTCACCATCTCTTCTCGGCAGATGATGCAGACGTTGTCCATTGCCTGGAGTTCCTCTGGGGTGGCATCTGGATACCTGGTTAGGACAGGCCGAGGACACATCGA